GACCATCAATTGTGGGGGGGAGAGAGGTATGATAGGGGAACAATTGAAGAGAAAGTAGGGTGGCAAAGGAAGGAGTGAGAGAGGGGGGGAGGAGGGGCCCGGGGCGGGGCGCGGCACGGCGGGGTGGGTTTGATTGGCGGGGCGCGGGGGTCCGCGTGCACGTTGCCGAGCGGCGGCGGCGCATATGCCGTCGCGCGGCCAACGCGGCGCGCATGACGTCAAGCTGTGACGCCGCCGCCGGGACGCGTGTCCTGCCTTGCGAGCGCGACACGTGCGCACGCGACGCGGAATACAGTACAGTCGTACAGCCCGCATACGTGGACGCCCGCATACGTGGACGCCCGCACACGTGGACGCCCGCACACGTGCACACGTGCACACCGCGTGACGCACCGCCCTTCTCACTCGCTCAAGATCAATCTTTTTGCCTTGCTTCCCTTCGATTGTCATCAGAGTCGCTCCAGATATTGCCACATTCTACTCGCCCTCCACATCCCTCGTTCCCCACCTTTTCCTATACGTTTAAACCCTTCTCCCCCCCCCCCCCCGCTTCCCCGAACCGCCCTGGACTCCCATCCGCGTCCCACATCCTCCGTCCGCACGCTTGATCCCATCCCCCGATCCCCCCGCGACTGACTCTTCAAAACTTAAAAAAAAAAAAAAAAACAGAAGCGTCCTTCCTCCCACCTCTCCACCACCACCTCTCCACACCACCACCCCCCTCGACACCATGGTCGCCATCGCCACGCCGGCCGCCGCCCCGCCCCTGTCGGGGATCGTGAAAGCGGTCCCGTCCGCGGACACGCTCGTGCTGATGAACCCAGCCCCGCCGACGACGGGCCCTCCGCCGGAGATGCGCGTCACGCTATCGAGCCTCAAGGCCCCGCTGCTGTCGCGCGACGGCCAGTCGGACGAGCCGTTCGCGTGGCACGCGCGCGAGTGGCTGCGCGCCCGCCTCATCAACACCCGCGTCTCGTTCCGCATCGACTACCGCCTTCCGGCCATCCACCGCGTCTTCGCCACCGTCACCCCTGCCGCCGCAGACACTTCGCTCAACCTGCAGGCCGTCGAGCAGGGCATGGCCCGCGTCAGGAGGCCTAACAACGACGCCGAGGACCGATCCCCCGAGTTTGACCAGCTCTGCGCCGCGGAGGAGAAGGCCCTCGCCGCGAGGAAAGGCCTGCACGCTGGAGGCGACGCCCCGAAGTCGAGGAACCTGCCAAACCCTTCGGATACCGTTCTTGAAGCCCAAGATTTTGTTAATGCATGCAAAGGCAAACTTATCAAAGGCATTGTCGACTACATCATCAATGGTTCTGCAGTCAAGGTCCTTCTCACAGGTGTGCCTCACGCATCCGTAGACTCTCTAGGAGATCGTCTCGTCACCCTCTGCCTCTCAGGTGTCCAATGCCCAGGCTTTCGCAGATCAGATGGTGCAGATCCTGCCACCCCACCACAACCGATGCCCTTCGCTGTCAATGCAAAATTCCTCACCGAACTACGTCTCCTCCACCGCGACGTTAATGTCACCATCGACGGAGTCGATCGCAATGGTATGCTCTTTGCCACTATTGAGGATCCCAAAGCCTCTATGCACATTGGTGAGGAGCTTCTCAAGTCCGGCTTTGCAAAGACCGTCAGTTGGAGCATCGACCTCTCAGCTCGAGCCCCCGCCCTCCGCGCCGCTGAGCGATCCGCCAGGGATCGACAAATGGGCGTCTGGAAGGGCTTCAAGCCTCCTACTTCCAACCCCGAACTCTTTACCGGCAAGTGTGTCGAGGTCGTTAGCGGTGATATGATCGCTGTCCTCGATGACACCTCTGGCACCGTCCGCAGGATTTCCTTCGCCTCAGTGAGAGCCAACCGACCTGACCGTGCTACACGTGATCGTGCCTTCATGCCTATTGGCCCCGTCGCAGACGCCAAGGAAGCTCTGCGAAAGAAACTCATCGGCAGGCGTGTTCGCGTCAAAGTTGAGTATACCAGAGCACCATCCGAGGATTCAGTCCGCAAGGATACCATGGCATTTGCAACCGTTGGTCGCGAAGGTGACAAGAAGAATCCCGACGTCGCACTCCAACTCATTTCCGCTGGTCTTCTTGGCGTCATGCGTCATCGCGGTGATGAAGGACGAGCTGCCAACTATGAAGAATACCTAGAGCGCGAAAAGGCCGCAAGGGACGCCAAGAAAGGTATCCACGGCGATGTCCAATCTACTACCAGGAGGATAAATAACCTTACTGGTCCAGATGCCAAGAAACGATCCCGTGACGTTCTCTCTGGCCTACAGCGCAATGGGCCATACAAGGCCATCGTCGAATATGTTTCGTCTGCCTCTCGATACCGCTTGTACTTGCCCACAGAAGCTATGCTTATCACTTTAGCACTCCGCGCAGTCCGGTGTCCCCAATCATCGCGCAAGGTGTATGCACCGGATGGTTCGCTTCGTGAAGAAACACCAGGAGAGCCTCATGGTGATGAAGCTGCTGATTTTGCAAGGGAACACCTCATGCAACGCGACGTCGAGGTATCAGTCTACAATGTTGATCGTATTGGCGCCTTCCTTGGTAACATACAGGTTGTCAGTCCGTCGGGTGAGAAGACCGATGTATCCGCTATGCTTCTAGAAGAAGGACACGGATACTTGCATGAGTCGTTTGACCCGTCCAGAGATCCCTCTGGCTCTCGCTATGTCTCAGTTGAGAAGACCGCCAAGGACGCCAAAAAGGGAGCTTGGTCCGATTACGTTGAACCAGTCGTTGCGGATAAATCCGCTCCCCAGTCATCCGATGCCCCACGGAAAACATATTCAGGCCAAGTCTGTGAGATTGGTTTCGGTGGCCGGATATTTGTGCAAAACAGCGACACTACCAAGGCAGCCTTGGCCTCTGTCGAATCGGGTCTCGCGAGCTTGTCTTTGGATGCAGCACCAGCGAGTCCGGTTACTGGTTTGCGCCCTGGAACGGTTGTCGCGGGCAAGTTTAGTGCAGACAATCGTTGGTATCGTGGCAAAGTCTTATACGTCAATAAGAACGGCGAAGTCGACGTGCGGTTCATTGACTACGGCAACGAGGAAAAGTTAACTGCCAAGAGTATTCGACGATTCGGAGTTGCTGTAGGCTTTATTAGCGCCGCCCCGATCGCCGTCGAGGTTGTCCTGCAGCACATTGTGATTCCTGGTGCTGAGGATCCGTGTGGAGTAGCAGCTGGTGAGTATCTGAAAGACCTGGTGTTTGATAAGGACATCACTGTCTCTATAGCCACGACAGAGGGGCCCGGGAAAGTCATCGGGGACATCTTGATCCCTGTTGCGGGAAGTTCGGACTCGGCTGCAAAGCCAACGAGTGTGATTGAAGAAATGCTCAAGTCTGGTCTTGCCCGAATTGTTCGCAAGACGGACCGTGCGTCGAAGGCAGCTTTCAAGAAGCTTCGTCCGTTTGAGGAAATCGGGATCGCTACGAGGCAGTACCTGTGGAATTATGGAGAGGCATTTGAATCCGACTGTGACGAAGAACAATAAACTGACGCAATCTGGGATATTCCCGCAAAATCAAAAGTACATTGCCACCCTTTTGCGTATTCCCGTCAGGATTGCTGACATCACACCCTGTGCCATTCTGCAAAAGCGGCAAGTCAAACAACTGATTGGATGGCTGCTGCATCTGAGCCAAGGGTCCTCATCCAACTGCAACTCAAAATTACCTCACTTCACTGGGCCCTTCCAGCACATGGCATTGTTCATGCGACGCATCGTAAATACTGCACCCATGTCCCCGACTCGTGATCGAAGCACAAGCCCAAGCGCCAGTTCGTGTCAACGGTGCGTGAGGCGCATGGGAGTGCGATGCCGGCAAGATGAAACTGAGTGACCAAAAAAAAAGTGCACTGGACCGTTTACCCTTGCCACAGATTGATTACGATGAGCGCGTGGGCATTGCAAGCACCAGGTCGCCCATCATGTGGGTTCATCTCCACACCTGCTATACATGGAATAGAGCGCCCCCTGGTAGAGGCGCGAGTCGCAGTTTGAGGCGGAAAGCATCATGCCCGTTGAGGTAGTACTTCTCGAGTCGTTGATCTCTGATAAAGCCAAGGTTCTCATACAAACGAAGCGCTCCCTTGTTCGTCACTTCTGCCTCTAGCGAGACCTCCTGGCAGCCTTGTGCGATCATGGACTTGATAGATGCGCTGACGAGCTTGGTACCAAGCCCGTTCTTTCGGCGGTCCTCGCGCACGGCGAGCATCGCGATGTAGCCCCGGTATATTTTCCCGGAATTGTACTCCTGAAAACGTGATGGGGAACATAGACTGGTCAGCATTAAATATCTATCGTGGCCCAGCCTGGGCCGGGGAAGGCCAGTCGGGTGATATAAACCATGACGCTTACCAATTTACAGACGACAGCTCCGACACATTCATCGCCCTCCATGGCGAGGTAGCAAAGCTGGGGCCATTGCTTGATAAAGTATCTGTACGTGAAAATTGAGTACGGTTCAGACAGGTCCTTGTCGATGAGCGGTTGTATCAGCTTCAGCTGTCGTTCTCCCTTGTACCTACACAAAACGAGATTTGCAAAAGCACGCGATGTGAGGCGAAAAGAGTTTTAGCTTGATGCGAGGGTACTCTTCGCGGTTCGATCGAAATGGGGCGTAGTGACTTACACTTCCAGTCGTATTTCTGGCTTCGCCATCGGAGAGAGCTGTGGATTACGGTCGGGGTACAAGCCTGCCTACATGTGAGGCCTCCTTGTCCGCGATTTCCGCGAGTTGTTACGGTGATATGAGCTCGAATCGACAACGAAGGCCGCGCTGCCGTGTTGAATCCACAAAAGCTCTGTTACAACTCCGTGTGTATGTTCATCGTAGCGTGCGCTGGCCCAATCGCAGATCATCCAACAGGAGCATAAAAAAATAATATTACCCGAAAATAATTCAAATTATAGTGAAGACGGCTCCGTACAAAACTGCACACGCGTTCCCTCAACTTGATGTCATCATCGTGGCTTCGGAACCTCTCAGCATACTCCCTTCCTGTTAAGACATACCCTCAGGGTGTGTCTCAAGTTAAGACTCTTAACAGGCTGGTTTTTGCTTGCCTTGCCCGGTTTTGCCAGGAATACTTTTAAATTCTCTAAGAAAAGCCCTTGCTTTTCTTAAACTCAAAAATTAAAACGTAGGAGCCACTCATAGCACGCCAAATCACCTCTTTGGGCAAAGCAAAGCAAACTGCAGAAAAACGGGGCATGTTAAGACTCTTACGTACTTAACTTAAGACACACCCTGAGGGTGTGTCTTAACATGCCCCGTTTTACAGCATACTCCCTTCCTTGCCATGCGACCTGGCTTGTAAGCAGCGTTGTAACTGTAATCTGTCCTTTGTTTTAATTTAACGTCTCTTTACTTACAGCATCGGTGTATGCCGTTTGTTTAACTTAATGTGTACCTTATCATATACCTTACATCTTTATTTACAACAGAACTAAGACCCGTGTCAGGCATGCACTTCGTAGGATACTGTACAGCCCATTTCGATGAAGGACTCATATTCCATTCCCCACGGCCCGTGTGGAGAGATTCACTACCTCTACCGACAGGGCTTCCAATACTTGAGATTCATGACAGCTAGCACCCCGATGCTTGACTACATTGTTCAATGAAACAGGAACGATGGAACCATGCGAGTTAGACTCGTTGCAATGGCAACTTATTTGATTTGAATACTACTCTGGACCAGTTGCTTCTTTTGTGCCTATGGAAAAAAAATGGCTCAGATGAGGCGCACAACACTTGAGAGGGAAACAGGATTTTATAGCAATATGCTGCACGCAAGGTTGCAGGAGACGCCCATTCCTCGTTTGAGCTTGTCTTAAGACTCTATGCAGCTTTCCTGTCACATTTCCATCCCATTCACCGACTACAACGCAGACACATGTACCACTTATCTTTCAAAGCTTGCTCACTAGACACCATAAAATGTCTATTCAATACAGAAGTATGCATGCACTAGAAACCGCATGCTACACCTGCTCAAATTATTGGAGTGAGAACGCCTACGCCTTGTTCTATAACCTCTCGTTTGCATAGGACAGCATTCGGTTCCTCTGTAACCCCGTGCTTATGAACAGAGGCGGGCACCAGAATGTGCTTCACCATCGATCTCTCGCAAAGTGTGTTCGCACCTGACGCGCATGCACAAATGAGATGTCCACTGCACGGCCGCCTGGCACAAATCATCGGGGAAACGTCTTCCCTCACAACGAACAAGCACTCCTCCTGTTGTCCGCTTCTATTTTCGGCCATACCGCAGCTGCAGTGCGTCGAGTTATCAATGCACATCCCTTCTAACCCAGCCGGTCCATTGTGGATACCCGGAGCCCAGTCTGGGGGCTGATCAGCCTCCTGCCCAGCACCCTCGCTTCCCGGCAAGTCGGGAATGCCGGGAAGACTCGGAACCATCTGTCGTCCAGGGGCAGGCAGTTTCCCTCCCAGATTGTAACCTTGCTCACCTCCGCTCATGCTAGGACCGTTGTATCGCTGTCCCATGTTGCCATTCCTTTCATCCATGCCTCTTGGTGTACCTTCACGCCCGTATTGAGGGGCCTCGGCAAATTGTCCGGCAGGCTGTACTAGCCGTTCGACGTGATTGCCTTGGAGCACTTCGTGAGATTGCGTCGGCTCATTATCATTAGAGGGCATTCCGATGTAGCTCCCTTGATTACTGGGCATTTGCCCAGGTTCCTGCAGAGGGGCATGGTTGTCATTCGCTTGTCTCTGGTGCGCCGATGCTCCATACCAAGCCTGAGCTGCTATCCCACCTGTTGATTCCCCAGGAACCGCTGGCGCGCCCTGATTGCCGAATGCCATTCCGCCCTGTGTTTGATATGGTCTTTCGCCACTTGCCACGACATTATAATTGGAACCTTGAGGGATAACTGGAGGGGCCATTGCCGCATCCGGGTCCTCACCTGTCTGCCCTGACCCAGGAGTTCCCTGGAAACTTTGCCCAGCGGGAAGTGTCTGATCGCCAGACCATGCAGAAGAGGACTGAGGTGCTGGATGGCTTTGGTACTGTGGTGGAGCTTGCAAAGCTTCGGTCTGTGCTTGATAGAACCTTCTAGACGCCTCCGCCCCCGGCTCTCTAGGATCAACTCCGCTCACACCGGATGTCTCATATTGCGGTGGAGCTTCTGGACTCTGTGGGCTCAGCATCGTAGCTTGAGAGTCCGAAACACCCATCACTCCTTGCCCATAAGGGGATGCCTCTTTTGGCTCGAACGAAGATGGCCCTTCCTGTCCTGCAAATGACGTTCCTTGTTGAAATCCGTTTACAGCAGTAGGTTCGGCATTGTAGTTTTGAGTCTGCCTTCCCAAAGCGTCAGTAGCAACAGGCTGCAAATTGCTTGATTGAGCATCGGGCGTTTTCCCAGAGTTCATAGCAAATGGCTCTTGAGCAAGTTTAGTGTTCAAATTGTCAAGTCTTGTCGTCATATCAACTTCAGATTGTTCGTAATCATTGAAAGAGGTCAGTCTACGTCTGTAGGCTCCGGCATGACCAATGTCAGGTGCACCCTGCAAATGCCCTGGTGCTCTCATTTCGAAGGCATTTGCTCCTTGCATCTGAAAGCCGCTGTTAACATTGACGGGGAACTGACTGCCAGAGCCTGGAGAACGGAATGATTGTCTGATCGAAGGCGTTGCAGAGTGAACTCCTGGAGGAGCACCCCCAGGACGCCCCATCAGTGGTGATTGCATACTCCCAACAGCCGCAAGCCCACCACCTGCATTTTTAGTGGCGAATTTCGGGTTGAGACTGGGATCATAAGCAATCTCTGGATCAGCTGGATGGATTGGTCCGATGCTATCCACGAGGGAAAAGTCCAAAGCACCTTCTGGCGCTTGCGCTGTCGTCGGAAGATCCGAAATGAACGCCGGCGAATATGAATATCCACTGATGACAACACCCGCAATTTGCGGGTTTTGCTTAATGGGTCTCAATGCAATTGTAAGACCGTCTTTCGTTGCAATGCCTCTAAACTTCCTTCTCACCGGTCCTGCCGGTCCACCTGACCGAAATGGGTCTAGCTGGGAGCATACTTTCAAGACTCCGTTTGGTTTCGACCCTAAGTATACCTGTGTTGTTCAATGGAAATATCGTCTTGTCAGTACTGTTTTAACTACAAAGAACACTGAGAAGACTGCAAACGCGACATTTAAACGTACATCAAAAACACGCTTTCCCGCGGCGTAGGCACCATTCCAGGTCTCGGCAAAGAGCAATGTAACTGTATAGATACCATCCGGAACTGGGATGTTAAGGACGAGATCACTTTCGCGTGAAAAACGCTGCGTCTTAAAGACATTTGCGTCATTCCCATTACCGCTAATTGCTCCATGAAATCGCATTTTCGGTATATCTTCGCCTAGTTCTAGGAATTCTTGTTCAGCTGAAAAGCCATCAACCGCCTCACCACCAAGATTGATTTTCATCTCGATTTTGTCGGCAGCAGACAATTGAACGACCATCAAGAGAGCCCATAACAGGAACAAGCCGTTCGATTTCATTTTCATAGCCAGCGTGGTTCGCACAAAGAGCACAGAAAGAAAGGATTCTTGGAGGGAAGAGTTCCCTTCAAACCTTTTCTTCGCCAAACGAAGGGTGAAGAGGAAGTAATCCAACTCGTGAACAGCTATCTGCTCTTTCCGGCAAAGTTGGTGGGTATTGTTCTTCTTTAGAATGAAAGTATTGTTGTATATGGGTTTAAAAGCTGGTGCTGGACTTTGAATTAGAGATCGTTGATGTTGTTTGTGAAGGCTCAAAATTCGATCGTCTGCTGTGCAAAAATCGTAGTTTCTTCATTTTTACGTCTCTAATTCCAAAGATACCTTCCAAGGGCTGGAAGACTTTCACATCATGTTTTCTTTTCGTATGAATCCAATAAAATAACCGACATCAAAAGGAGTGTTGGCTCTTAGGGTTTGGACTGTTCGTGTAGAGAAAGCAAAATTGGGTCTACCATATCCATTTCCCACGTTTACAGAACTGCAATATTTTCATTAAACAAGTCCTCACTCCTCAAGCAGTACCACTTTCTTTCTTGCCTGATCTGAACCTGGATGTGTGCCTTCTTAAAAAGCAACAGAGAACACACGAAGCAGTGTAAATCAACAAGCAAAAGACGAAACTAGTACACTTTCTAATCATTCCTATTAGTTTGTACTTGGACGAATAATATCATTTCATTCTGCAGAAGTTCCGTCTAAAACATCTCCTTTTTCTTGAAGCCCAAGTGAGTTTGTACCAAGACATGAGCTTTACGCTCGTCTCCACGTCTTCCCGTTCATGTGATTTTCACATGAATGGGAAGACGTGGAGACGTTTCACATATAAACATTATCTTTAGCTGTTGATGAGTAGAAGAAAGTGAAACGGAACCGTTTTATTCACTCAGTGATTTCGGAAAGTGAGGGCAAAACTAAAATTTATCTCATTTCTTTGCATGGGAACAAGAGTATCAAATGATTGCGGTTATGGCTCCATTCTCTGGTAACAGGAAGCCAGTTGAGTATTCATGGAGAAAAATGGCGTAAAAATGAGTCTGCAACTTCGACAGATGGATTGAGAAAGTACCGGCATGTTCTACGACTCTTGGTTTTCGTCAGAAGTTACTGCACGAGTAGCTCACACAGAAATGGAGCTGTTCTAATAGTGTTATGATGGAATGGTTGACACATCTTGAGGTAAACTTCTGGTTTGTCAGTGCCGAAAGAAAGTTGGACTTCCTCCAGACTATCAGAAACCTCAAGCTTTCCGATATTTTCTTTTTCACTTGCAATATTGTTTTTTTCACCATTTTTCTCTTCTGTCGGCTTGACCGGGCTAATTTGCTTCTCAAAGTCTTCAATGGATGCCCTCTTGAACCATCCTCTTCTGAGAAATGGAATGAAAGCTAAGCATATTGAAATGACCGATCCAATGATGAGAAACCCGGCATACCGATATCCAAAGTGGACTTGCATTGCATGGAGTATGACTAGAGGATGATTTTGTATGTGCACTTTCGTTGAATAGGCCACATGAGAAAAGACCGCAAGGCACAAAAACGTAACTGCAAACTTCATATTTTGCATGTAAGCCGTCAAACCGGACCAGAGTTTTGGGAGCCAGATATGTATCGGGCCGATGCGACAACAAGAAATGTTGAGAAAGGGGACCAGAGTATCTGTTTTAAGCTTTGGAAAATATTAACCAGCCATAGAAGGGGTTTAAAGAATCAGATGTGAGGGGAGCCAAGTCGCCGAGTGAAGATTTCGGTGCCCGAGATATGTTGTAGCACGTTCATCAGCACTCCCATACCGTAAGCAATGTCTATAATTTTACATGATCAAAGCACGGGATCCTCGCAAAAGTAGTCAGGGGGCCCGACGAAGTTTACGATTAGGATATTGTGAGCAAGGTCATGACGTTCGGGGAATTAGTAATTAGACGGAAGTGATTTCATCTCGAATTAAACTGAGAAGAGACGCATGAGATGGCGGCGCGGCGTGTCGTATACTTCTTCCGTGTATTAAGGACGTGTAGCTCATGCTCTTGTAATCGTTTTCAAATCGTGAAGTCTCGTTTTGATGTATAGCTTTATTGGATTTAATTGAACGTTGTTCGGGTAGAGCAGGAAATTGGGTGAAGATAAGTTTGGCTGCTCAAGGCGAAATCGTCATTGCTTTATCATATGCAGTAAAAAATTTGAGTCAAAATGATTGCAAAATGACGTCGTTTCGGACAACGAATAACGATGGTTGGCTGTTTCTATCAGGGTCCACGTGGCATGGCAGAACTATAGGGAACCTTTAGCAAGACTTTTCGCACTTGACATGTAATTGAGTAGCTGTACTTCTCCACGCTCGTATCGCCCAGTTCGACGCGCACACCTAGGCAGGAAATATGCAAAACCCCCAGAACATTCAAAATTTGTTTTAAAATGGCCTCAATCATTAGGCCTCGGTACGGCATGTCAGGTGAGGCCTGACATTCCTACTGCACCTCTCAGAGCTCCTCTAACATGTGCTACGTCAAGAAAGATTCAACTCACCCGGTTGGAGATTTTCTCGTCATTTTTAGATTGGCAGGATTCGCGTCAGCTGCGATGCAGCATTTTGAAAATAAAGACAATCCGGTATTATGGATACAGTTGGACAGTATACGTTTAGCATTGCAAGCAATTCGAATACTTGGTTCCCGAACGCTTTTGCAGGCATACTTATTTTCCAAAGCAAGTTGTCAGTGCATGCGGACGTGAAAATCAAAAGAATAGACAATGACTATGTTTTGCATCAGCAGATGCTTCTGGCTTTGAGGCATATTCCGCGTTCAGGTGGAGTGCAATGTGACACAATTGAGCTAGAAACGAGTTGCCGTTACTAGGTTTGAATTTTCGTTAAATGTATGCGGTCCTTTGTCTTTTTTGTAAGAAGCGTATAAAAAGAAGACACGTGGAGAGCACTGGCAGTTTCAAAGATAATGCGAGAGTATGATAATCTTAAAAATCAGATTGCGGTACACCTGCATGCATGCAAGGACATGGCATGCAGACAATTCCGTGCAGTCGACAGTACAGTATCAAGCAGGTTGAGATAGAAGAAACAGAGCCTGCGCACTCGTTGATCTCTGACTCTGTCCCAACTGCAAAAAGGAACTGGGATGAATGAGAAAAGATTGCAGGGACACAAGGAGATAAGCGGTTGCAATTCTTTAATGCGGGCACGTTAACACTTAAGAACGGAAGACAAAAACCCCACAGTAGGGGTAAACAATGCGCATAACACATGCGAGAAACCATTTCGTCTGCTTCTATGAATAAAAGTAGAGGAGACGCGAACGAGGAGCGTACTGATGCAGAAATACACGAGCAGGATGTGGCTGCGACCAATTGCGACCACACTTCAAGCAATTCCTGTATGCTTCTCTGCCACACACCTGGAAACACGAGCTGGTGCCATGGTGCCAGGATTTGCGTGGTAGATTGCGTCGCAAATGGAGATAGGATTGAAAGCTAGAGTTTTCCTGATTTAGAGTAGCGCCTCTGCGAAGTTTTGGTATCCTTGCTCGACCTGTCCGATACTTTAGTGGAAAGGATCCAGACGTGCCCCATGGGATCGGATATGCGAGCGGTGCGAGTTCCCAGTCCCTTCTGCTCTTTGATAGATTCCAAGATGGTAGCTCCGTACCGGATACAATTCTCGACGCAAGCCTCGAGATTGGGGACGTAGAGGCAGAGCTTGTGGGCGACTTTGTGAGAGCCCGTGGGCGGGGCGACGCCGATTTGTGGATAAGGGTCAGAGATGAAGATCTTTTGGCCCCCAAATGAAAGCTCAGCGTGGCCGACTTTGCCCGACGGGTCCAGCCAGCGCTGGCCCTCCTCCTTTGCACCGAGGGCCCTGCAGTAGAACTTGATTGCATCCGAGGCATTGCTGCAGCACAGGTAAGGCGTGAGGACGGTGTAACCGCTAGGAATGTATCGCTTCGACATGGCGGGTTGGATAAAGATGTGGCCTGAGAAGGGGGTGGTGAGCGGGGCAGTGTGATGCCAGGTGAAGGTGATTCTTATGCACACCGAGGAGCGCGGTACTGAAGTCAGAACCAAGCAAAAAAGGCGGCACTAATGAGGAAAAAACATGCCGTCGCAGCATGGAGCGAGCCCCGGGCTCAGGGCTGCGCGGATGACAAAGCCAGCAATGGAAACGCCCGGCTGCACGCCCCAGATCATCCTCAGGGACCTGCCAGGCCGTGCGGACCTCAGCGGGCGACATCACTCGCGAAAATATATGCGTTTTTCAACATCCGCCTCTGCCTCTACAATCCCACCAGAGAGTTGATGCACCCCGAGCGGCGGTGCTGTAGCCTGCTCGGCGTGCGCGCCTGGTGGCTGATGTTGTCTATTGCAATTCGTACGTTTCAGCGGTGAACCTCTTTCGCATACGATTGACAAGTGCAGGTGCATGTGGTGATGAAGCAGAAGCGGTCTTCATGCTTTCTCGTTGTTCTCGCACCCACGACAATATCGCGTTTCTCGCGCGTCGGTGGGGGGGGGGACGGAGAGGCAGGGCGGCATGCCAGCGCACGGCGGCGCTGACACGGAAAGCGCGGTGTAACGGGCGGCGGCACGTGTGTGTGTCGCGCGGGGGCGGGGAGCGCGGTTGGGAAAATATCGGCGACTCGTAGGCGGGCCGTGGGGGGAGATACAGTATCGCGTGCGGGAGATATCGCGTGCGACACGGGCGGGGTCGGTCTCGAGAGAGCATTGGTGCGCGCCGCAAAAAGCACCGGAAACGTGTGGGCAGGGTTGGACGGGCGGCGAGATATTTTTTGCATCGCGCAAGATCCGAGTCCGCGAAACGGCACAAGCATTTTTACGAAGAGGTCCCTCTCTCGCTGCGTCAGGCGAAACACGCACCGTTACAGCCCGTCTGCGCTGGCGCAGAGAGGCGACGCACTACCTCAGCGCGGAAAGCACCCCGCGCACCACGCGCCGCTCACTTGGCGGCCTCTATCTTGGCCCTGGCGTGCTCGATCCACTCGGCGCGTGTCTTATCGTTCGGGCCGCACCTACGCCGCCGGGGAGCCGCACGCGTCGAAACTCGCAATGTCAGAGCGCCGTGCCGGGCACTTCCATCGCGCGCGCGCTCGCAGTCGTCGGGGGCGGGGGGGTGGAGAAACTCACGCGTTGCACTCGCCCTTCTTGCACATGCAGGTGTCGCCGCACGTGCACCGGGCCTTGGGACAGTCCTCCTCCATGGCCTTCCTGACGGCCTCCGTAGGCAGCGAGCCGCAGCTGCACGTCTCGCCGCAATTGCACGTTCCGGTGGCCGCGCAGCCACAGTCGGCCCACTTGGGGCAGTTGAATTGGGCGACAGCGGCGGCCATGTTGGAGAGAGTCGGGGTGGGGGCGTGTGGGGCGCTTGCGTGAAGGGTTGCGGCGGGTCGGGGTGCGGGGGGGGGGGGGAAGGGTGGTATGAGGGAGCGGCGCCGGGGAAACGGAGGGCGGGCTGCCACATTTTATACCCCCGCACGCAGAGCGCTGGCGGCAGGGGCTTTCCTGCGGCGCGCGCGCGCGGACACGTGTTGCGAGCCGAATGCAGGGGGAGCGGGGAAAGGTGGCACTCTTTTGCGCTTGTTATTGGCGCGGGCGCACGCGGAGGGCGTCTCTTGAGCGCCATGGACAGAGGGCAATTCCAGGTCTTCCGCGGGCGGGAGCATGAAACATCGGTGCACATGTGGGAGACCCCCCTGAATGCATCTTTGCTAGCATTCACCGCACCGGATCCCTTTCCCCGCTTGCTCCCCACCCGAGGCTGCGCTGTGCACTCAAGAATGGTTTTTGAGTGCCACAGCATACCGAAATGGCGGCCAAACCCCGCCGTACAGCTATTACACTGTAAAGCGGGGTTTACCAGCTTGATATGCCATTTACAGTGGGATGTTTTGTAAGTCTGGTACATCACTGCTACCTCTCGAGAGGTAAATAAAGTTACAGTACTGTAATCCATTTCGATAGACGCTCATCGGCAGAAACCAGGCCTCAAAAAACAACCACTTTTATACACGGCGACAAACTTTGTTACACAAGCTCCGTCTCGTTGCCAACCTCCGCAAACCGCACCCCGTCCTCGGCGCCCACCCTTCGCACCGGCTTCCTCGCCTCTCTCTTCCTGCGCCCGGCGCCGAGCACGGCCCTCGCCGTCGAGCACGCGGCCAAGCACACCACCAGCGCGGCGGCCGCGGCCCCGACGAGCACCCACCCGCTGACGGTCGCGCCTCCGATGCGCACGCGAAACCCGCCGCCGCCGTCCGCGCCGCCCGTGCCGCCGCCGTCCGCGCCGCCCGAGCCCTGCTCGATGCGCTCCTCCTCGACCTGCGGGTCGCCGACCACCGCGCACGCGTCCGCGCCCAGCGCCCCCTGCACGTCCAGCACGGCCGCCTGGATGTCGCGCATCACCGGCCCGCCGTTGTGCTGCGCGTAGTTGGACCCGATCGCGGGCGTCATCAGGTCGTTGCCGTCGCCGTCCGCGCCGTGCGCCGCCTCGGAGAGGTGGTACAGCGAGCTGCCGGGCGTGTATGGCCGCGGCGCGTACAGCTTGGCCACGCGCTGCGACCGCGCCACGAACCACAGGTTGTTGCCCGTCAGCACCGTCCCCAGGTGCGCCGCGTTGTCCTTGTACGCCGCGATGTCGCACCCGTCCTGGTTGGCCATGAACGCGTCGAACCGCCCGGCCATGCCGTCGCGCAGGAAGTAGCCCGTGTACGACGCGTTGTTCTCCGCCACCCCGATGTTGCCGCCCGACATGAACAGCCCGTGGTAGATCTCGTGCAGGCACACCGTCACCAGGTCGAAGGTGCGCGACGGCGTGCGCGCGTCCGTGCCGGCGTACCACTGCGCCTGCAGGTTGAGTTTCATGAGGATGTCGAAGCGCGCCATGCGCTCGTAGCCCGCGTTGAGGTCCTCCTGGACCACGGCTTCGGCCAGCGCGACCGGGCAGATGAAGCCGTTGACGACCCAGTTGCGCGACGGCTGCGCCGTGCCCAGGATGAGCGGGTCGCCCAGGTCTGCGAACTCGACGCGCACGGAGACGGGGACGGACGAGCGCCAGATGGCGGAGGCGCGCGACATGCAGTAGTCGACAGCCGTGCGCTGCTGGGCGGAAAAGGGGCCCTCGAGCGTCGCGGAGAAGGCGGACGGGGAGGCCGGGGGGGAGGTCTGGCGCGCGTCGAGGCTCGGGCGCGAGCGGTTGAAGTCGACCGGGTGGGCGTAGTCGTACGGGGAGGGCGGCAGATCGTATGGTAGCTCGCAGAGGTGGAAGCCTCGCTTCATGACGCAGGGCGGGAGGGCGAGGACGGGTGCGCAGAGGGAGAGTAGGAGGAGGAATAGACGAACGGGATGGGGGAAGGGGGGTTGGCGGGAGGGAAGAATTGCTAGACGGGAGCTTGTACGAGGCATGGTGTGGTGGGAGGGGTGAGAAGGGATGAAGGGGGATGCGGTGGTCTATGCGCGGCCACGTGAAGGGCAGTGTGCGCTGACATTTGGGATGACCGAGAGGGGACGAGGGGACGAGGGGACGAGGGGTGTGGGG